CAGGTGATATGATGAATTGATTGTTTACCCAGAGGTATCTCACCGTCACGCCTGACAATCTCAGTCGCACCGTGTAGCAGCGTGTTAGGCTGATAGGATCATTATAGGATGAGCTAGAGTTTACGATGCAAAGGCATACTCGAGTCTCGTATCTGATTTGTCCGTGGTGTTTGTAGAAATCCACTTCCTCGCCCATCCTGGCTCTCAATTGATAATTGTAAAAACTGGGTAGCGTGGCCGAGTTGGTCTAAGGCGTTGGATTTAAGTTCTCCTTGATTCCCAATGGGCGCAAGTCCGCGCGAGTTCGAACCTCGCCGCTACCATTTTTTCTCTCGATCACAGCCTACAGGAATCCCGAACCCCGAATCCGGTAGACGACTTTATCTTCTGTAACTCTGTTTGAAGTCTGGCTACGAGAGACTAGAATCCGGGCCCCGGGGTCCCCAGGCAGTGGCAGTGGCAGGTTCGCAGGTCCGCAATTGTATTTGTGTTGGAACTTCGCTCTTCTTACCAACTTTGTCTTACGATCGGTCCATCCACATACCAGATCTGCTTTCTTATGCAGTCTGCTTCTCGGTCCTTCACCCTTCGTGTGTCTCTAGGCTTTCGCCGATATCAAACACAGGCGCGCCTGCCCTCTTCTGCGTACACGGACCCCTCTCGGGCTACTGAAGCAGCCGTGTCCACGACTCCTGACGATCTCTCTCCCTCTCAACGACATGCCCTAAGCGCCGCGTTACGGGTGGATCAGGCCGGGGAAATTGCAGCCAACTGTATCTATCAAGGTCAACTCGTCATTCTGAAGCGGGATCGTGCCTCTGCAACCCTCCTTCAAGTCAGTCTGCGATTGCTGTTCTCTCTCTTAAACAGCCGTTCATCGTGCCTTCGCAGGATATGTGGGACCAAGAGAAGAAACATTTGGCAGTCATGAACAAACTCCAGGTACAACATCGAGTACGACCGACCGCTCTCTGGGAAGTCGCGAAGATTGCTGGTTTTGGACTAGGCGTGGCGACGGCCCTCATGGGCAAAGAGGCCGCCATGGCTTGTACTGAGGCGGTAGAGACAGTTATTGGAGAGCATTACGACGAGTATGTGACCATTCTGCCTTACACTTCCCATATCTGATTTGTTCGGCGCGCACTCCAAGCCAGTTAGAGGAGATGGAAAACATGTCACCTTCCCATCCTACCATGGCCTTGCTCAAGGACGTTATCCGAGAGTTCAGAGACGACGAATTGGAGCATCTGGACATTGCAGTCGAAAACGACTCGCAACGGGCACCTGCACACGCATTACTCAGTTCCGTCATCGGTGCAGGCTGTATGGCAGCCATTGAGCTATGCAAACGGGTCTAAAGCGTTGGCCCTTGACTTGTCTCGAATCGAGAACGTGTCGGACGTGATATATATTATGCAGACTCTAATCTTCGGTCGGCTCAAGTGACGGCGGAGGAATACGATAGAGCGACTGCCCCTTCCGTTTCGCTGTCCAGTTCCACTTATTCTAAATGAACAAAGAATCAGTTCGAGTGCACAGATGTTGTAACGAAGCCACACACATCTTCACTGGAGGCCAGCGTATAAATCGCGCTGGGGACTATGACGAGACCAGCCAAAGCGAGCCAGGTTGCTTTGTTTGTGAAGCGGAAGTGCCTATAGGCATCCTCGCGCTTTTGAAAGACGTTAGTAAAGACAGATCCAAAAACAAGGCGAAGTCGTTGCACCATATGGTTCCATCGTTCCACCGCAGGGTCGTGCTAACGAAAACGTGAACATTGAACACTCGTTCGGGTGCGGTGGGAGTGCTGACGCACTTTCACAACATCTGGAGACGGAAGCTTCAGATAATGCTCAAAATAACAGACGAGCAGTAATACTGACCGTGGACCGCCATGGTGACTGTAATATGTTAGTGTCTGCGACGGAATTGAGTTGCGTTCGGCGGGAACGGTGATCCTAGCCGCGGAGTTCTCAGCTGTTGACCCGTGTTTACTCCGGCTTTCCTCTCGACATCCATCTTCTCTTTCCTTCTTTTAAGTACCATTCGAATCCTCAGCGTCACAAATGGCATACAACCGCGAATGGGACAAAGGAAAGGATGGGTGGTCAGCGGATAATGGCGACACCGGTGGCTGGCAAGACTATACAGGCGGAGGAGGTCGGGGGAACGTGCGTTACAGGGAAGAGGAATATTACGGCGATGGTAAGAGGAGGAGGTATAACAACGGGGTGCGTCCAGTGCATTCTTGCATTTCCCTGTCGCTTCTGTTTACACTCGCCAACTACAGGGTTACGATGCGGGGCAGGGCTGGGACGACAGCAGCTACGATGCCGGTCAATACCAGCAGCCGCTGGTCGCGACGACCCAGCAGCCTTATGCGCAAGACGATCGCCCTCCGCGAGGAGGCTTCAACCTTGGCGGGACGTCGACCAGTGGCACTGCTAGCGGAGGCTTTCAAGGCAATCGAAAGCGCCTCGCCCCGAGCGAACCAAGCCCTCACGTTATTTTCCTCGGTCTTGACCCCGACTTCACCGAAGCGGATGTCTGTCACTCGTTCTGCCTCCTCTTCCCGATCACCTCACTGAGTGCCTACATCCGCAGTTGCAATCTTATTTATCCTACAATGGCTGCAGCATCGAGTCGACCACGATTATTCGAGAGAGAACAACAGGCACTTGCCCATCACTTGCATCTGTGCTTGGACCTTCGCATTGACGACTCTTCCTGGGGTTTTGCTCCCTACCTTTGCTTCCCCAGGCCAGTCCAAAGGTTTCGGCTTTGCCCAGTTCTCGTCGGTCGAAGGCGCCCGTGCCTTCGTCGACCCTTCCTTTCCCTTTATACAGGTCCCTCCCCCCGCCTCGCATGGTGCCACGGCGACTGCTGCATTCTACAAGGCGCTTGAGACGGGCGCGCAACACACTGGACGAAGAGTGAAGATCGACTTTTCTCAGAGCGCCAGTCCGGGTGACAGAGGTCGATTCGGACGCCCAGCGAACGCTAATGATGGGACGCGCGATATCGGAAATTCGCAAGCACCTGTTCTACTGTTCAGAGGGCTCGACCCCATGTCGGGACCCTTGGCCGTTCACCAAGCGATGTTAACCTCCTCTGGTCTTAACAAGGAAGGGGCGAAAGGCATGAAGAGGATCGTCATCATCAAGGATAAGGTCACGATGGCCAGTTGGGGTTTTGCGTTTGTGGAGTTTGTTGACGCACAGGTATTTCGATCAAGGCAGTTTCAACATAGAATATGTCTGACGCTCAGTCTTGACAGGCCGCCTCCACTGTCCTGGCTGCCACCATGTCACCACAGATTCATCCCAACGGGTTTCGCATCTCAGATAAACCTGTAGCAGCTTCATTTGCACACCCTTACTCTTTCCAGCCGCTGGCCAATCCCATGCTGAGGGACGAAGCGTGCATATCGTCCTCGATGGCTCTCGGTGGTGTCGAAGGGACCTGGGTGCGATATTGGGATGAAGCCTCCACGGCAGCTATCCTTGAATTCAAAGTAGAAGAACCTACGCCCCAGCAACAGGCAGCTCCTGGAAAAGAGAAGAAGAAGAGGCCTAAGAGTGAGCTGGTCGTTGCAGTGAATCTGTGGACTGCTGCTCACTTGTTTATGTAGTTGATGCAGACGCCGCGGCTCTACGTGCAATCCCCGTGGAAGCTTCTACCTTGCCTGTATCAGACAAGCCTGTAACGTTAAATTTCAAGGGCTTGACAACAAACAAGATCTCCTCCGGTACATTTTTACCACCATCTCGCCCCCTTTCTCAATACTGATTTAGCTGCAGCTAAAGCTGCACCGCTGACATTGGGATTCTCTATGGCTGACGATGCTGGAACTGATGACGAAGCTTCTCATGGTAAGGAGGACGATGCTAAGGGTAAGATTTGTTTCTTGTACTAACCTAAAGAGGCATGCGTTTTTGACGGGTGTCCCGCAGTTGCCGCGGCGAAGAAAGTGGCCCCAATGATTGCGAGCAAGAAGGTGGGGAATATCGTCTTCCCATGCGTCAAGGATAGTAATATTTCTTGCCTTATAGATAGCGAACAATATCAACAAGTGGAATCAAGCTCAGGAAGGGATGAATTCGGGAGCGTCTAGTTCTGCCCCCGTTCCGGTTGTCGTACGACTCGCCAGATTTTAGCCGGGAGTCTGCTAATGCGCGCATGTATAGTCCGCTCCTTCGTCCAATGTGGTGATCACGCCAGTGCAAACCAAAGCAGACACGCCTCCCCCAGAAGCAGAATTCGAATTCTCGGACGTAGTCAAGTTAACGTGCTTGCTTTGCGCGCGGCAATTCAAGACGATGGATCAGCTCAAGCGACACAACAAGGAATCTGATCTACACAAAGTGCGTCTAGTTCATTGCCATCCAGCTCCATTTTCTGACCAAATTATCATAGAAAAACCACAAGGACCCCAATCTCCGCGATATTGCGAGGGAGAAAGCGCAGGCCGTAAAAGCAAGAGAAGAATCGTCGAACTTAACTCCTGATCCGCAGCCTGTGCAACCGAAATATCGCGACCGCGCTTCAGAGCGTCGTGTCATGCACAACCAACCCGATATGCCTTTGCCCGAAACGACAGAAGACCCTCGAAAATCGCGTCGTTTTGCAGAAGGGCCGCCACCGCCACCATCTCCGCCACCGCCAGCCTTGAACCCTGGCAAGGACGATACGAACGTAGGCAATAAACTTTTGAAAATGATGGGCTGGAAAGAGGGTACAGGGCTCGGTGTTGACGGCGGAGGACGTGTGGACCCTATGTAGGTCGCTATGTGGCTGCATTGCTGAACACCAAAGGCTGACCCGTCTCGTTGCAGCCAAACAGCCATCTACGCTTCCGCTTCAGGAAAAACCTCCCTTACTAAAAATCTACTAATTAGAGGGGGACCTTCCTAATTCCCTGTTCCCGCTGCCAACCTGCAAGGCACTACGTCAACGTAGGTCCCTGTCACCCTTCTGGCCTCAACTATGTATTTGAAGTGCAAATATGAGGTCAATGTTGACGACGGTGCATCGAAATGTGTACGGGGTTTTGTGAGAATAGAGCCCGTTAGTTCACTTTAGGAAGGTCCCCCTCTAACTAGCGCTAATTTGCTGGATTTGTTGATTTTAGTAAGGGAGGTTTTTCCTGATGCCGGTGCGGGGTTGGGTGCCAGCAAAGGTAAAGAGGTGGGTAAATATCCCGATGGATATACTGGCTATGTACACATGGCGAAGGACGCGGTAAGCCATTGTCTTTCCTCCTGTTCCATCCGCTAATTTTATGGTATACTGTAGAATTACGACCGTAAGTTCATTTTTTTCA